GAGAGAGGGGGGGGAGGTCGTGGGGAACATAACTATAAAAAAACGTGGTCTGTCAAGCGTTTCTTTTTTGTGTTTTTCTCAAAATGCCAAAAACTGACATATCGTATTTTCTCATTTTCTCCTGGTGCCCTTTATGTGTCTGAGAGAGAGCGACAGACATCCCATCTGTTGGACACTCACACTTTGTTACATTCGGAACTTTTGATGGAAAATAAATTAACATTCTCAGTTGCTAAGAGAATGGGGGCAAAAAAGAGAAACCGGGGGTGGGAGAAGGTGGGGGAGGGGAGAGGAGGAAGGTGGTGGGAGGGGGGGATGCGAGGGACTGTACTGAGTGTGGTAGGGTCGTTCTCTTTAAGAACATGCATTTATTACTCTGAAGATTTCTTTTTTGTTAAGTTTATAAATTGCTGCTGAGAACCGTTTATGGCATGCCATATAAAACACACGTGGACAGAAACAGAGCACATCTACCCTTTTCCGACAACGTCGCCGGCTGTATATAAGAGGCGGACATCGTTCTGTGGAGCCATCATCTGTCAGCGAGCTGCAGTAACCACACCAGTCCAACAGTCCAACAGCCAGCCACCTATGTGTCCCTGTGTCAGTGACGTCATGAAGCTAGTCGCCGCCATCTTGCTGTGCCTGGCGGCATCCGCCCTGTGTGAGAAGAGAATCATCAACGGAGAAGCGGCAGAGCTGTACTCCCACCCGTACATCACCTCTCTCCAGAAGCTAGAGAGGAGCTTTTTCTTCTCTTATTGGAGGCACATCTGTGGAGGCTCTCTCATCCATGAGAAGTATGTACTCACCGCTGCCCACTGTCTCACCGGCCTTAAGCTGAGCGAACTCCGGGTGAAGCTTGGAGCGCTCAGACTGGACAGCGAAACCTCCTACGAGTCCGTGCGACGGGTGGTGAAGATAAGCATCCACGAGAACTACAAGGAGAATGACTTCGGAATACCCAACGACATCGCGATCCTCGAACTTGATACACCAGCCACTCTCAACAAGAATGTCCAGGTCGCTGAGATGGCCGCGGAAGGATCATCTTTCCTCAACACAGAATGCGTGCTGGCCGGCTGGGGGATGATCGGCACAGGCCAGGCAGCCCAAGAGGCCACAACCCTGAAGGAGGTAACCCTTGACCTTGACCATCAATGATTTATTTATAGAGGCACCAGCCATCCATGTCCAGGTGCTGTTTTAGCCTCTTTTTCCTGTCTGCGGATTAAAGAAGAAGAAGAAGAAGAAGAAGAAGAAGAAGAAGAAGAAGAAGAAGAAGAAGATGAAACACAGTCATAACAGAAATACCAAGAACAATAATACTAACAACAGCATTGATTTGAGTAAAATAAAGAAATACTATTAAAATAATACATGCAGTAATATTATTATAAATCAATATTTATTCTTCAGGTGAACATCACCAAGATCGACTCCCAGCGATGTAACGACTTGTGGGACGGAGCTGGAGTCACGGACAAACACATCTGTGTGCACGACGCCAGTCCTCCAGTCGGGGAGCGACCGAGCGCCTGTATGGGCGACAGTGGAGGACCCATGATGTGTGGACCACGACATAACATCTTGGCCGGCGTCACTTCCTGGGGGGAGCGCACTTGCAGCGGGAACTATCCCAGCGTCTACACCAGGGTCTCTGCCTATCTGGGTTGGATCAGATCGAAAGCCCCTGGCGTGTTTAAAAACTGATGTCTTTGGCGACATTGGGCGACAAAAGAAATGTCTGCCAATAAATTCAATCAATAATGATTTAAATCGCCATTGTTCTTCTTTTCTCTCGTGGCTGTTTTCTCGTTTGTTTTGTTACCATAGATTTACCGACGCTCACTCGGAACTAAATTCGGGGGTTCAAGCCTCCGCTCGGTCCGACGTTGTGTCCTTGGGAAAGGCACTTTACACGAATTCCCCTCTTGGCTCGGTCCTTTCGGAGACGGACGTTAAACTAGGAGGCCCCGCCTCTTAAATAACCTAATAGTGTTGATAGGGGCGTTAAACCTATACCATTTCACCATTTTTTTTCAGAACTAAATAATAATAATAATAGATAGCATTTGTATAGCGCAAATCCCTGCTCAACAGCAAACTCTATGCGCTTCACAATCTATACTATTACCCCAGCAGACCTGAGAGTATTCTGAAAGAAACTCAACTTCCTGGGAAGCATACAGTGCGAGCAGCCATTTATAGGCACTAAAACACTAACAAACTGACAAGATCTTTCGCTGTCTATGGCCGGGTACCCATTCCCACCTGAGTAAAGGGAGGAAAATTAGTGCAAAGTGTCTTTTCCAAGGACACAACGTCGGTCCTGCAGCTCGAACCCTCGATGTTGTAACCCTCTCAGCCCGGGTCTGTGTGCTGGAATGTTGTATCCCTCTCAGCCCTTGTCTGTGTGCTGGAATGTTGTATCCCTCTCGGCCCGGTTCTGTCTGCTGGGACGTTGTATCCCTCTCAGCCCTTGTCTGTCTGCTGGGATGTTGTATCCCTCTCAGCCCAGGTCTGCCTGCTGGGATGTTGTAACCCTCTCAGCCCGGGTCTCTCTGCTGGGATGTTGTATCCCTCTCAGCCCTTGTCTGTCTGCTGGGATGTTGTATCCCTCTCAGCCCTTGTCTGTGTGCTGGGATGTTGTATCCCTCTCAGCCCTTGTCTGTCTGCTGGGATGTTGTATCCCTCTCAGCCCTTGTCTGTCTGCTGGAATGTTGTATCCCTCTCGGCCCAGGTCTGTCTGCTGGGACGTTGTATCCCTCTCAGCCCTGGTCCTAACCTGAGAGGTAGTGCCGAAGCCTTCCTCCTAACTGACCTAAACGTCGGCGGGAAAAAAAGGAAATACTTGTGCAGTCAAAAATTGGTGGCGCAACTTCTCCTCAAATATCTCCTTTACGGTTGAATCAATGTCACCTGTACTTTGCACAGTAGTTTGTATTAATTTGTCTTAACTTAAACATATTTTTTCACAACAACTAATGATCCATTTTAAAACTTTTCTTCAAAAATTGGTATAAAATACTAGAAATCTCCATCACGCAGAAAATGGGATTGTTCACAGAGCTTCCCGCAGCTCGCCAATGACACATTTATTTTAGTGGGAAAACTTCTTACAAGAAATTATTTTTATAGTGAACACATTTTTTTTTTGCACAAAGGTTCCCTAAACCAATGATAGTACATAACAAGATGGGCCACTCAGCCAAAAAAGTGTCCGCAGGAAGTATGCTCTTTGCTTCAGATGGCGCTGCAGTCTGTCTTGAAGCTCTCTTTCGTTTTTCCAGAAGAAGAATAGGAATAGCTCCTCCTTGCGTGCGCAGATCGACTGCTGTTCATCAGCAGTTCGGGTACGTTCAGTGTGGAGTTTTAGTTTTTTAAAATTTTAATGACCTCTCGCCTTTCATTCTAAAGTCAAATTAAACAAAGAAAACCATCACCCTTTCCTCCGGAAGAGGTTTTTTGTCAGCGTAACCATTTTAAAAAAGCGTTCTTCCGAAATTTATCCCAAAACTTGTTAGTTTCACTTTGATTTTTAAAAACTCAAGTAGGGTAACTCTGTTCGCAAAGAGTGCGCTTTTGTGAAGAGGGCGCCACCAAATTTTGAGGACACTTTTTTAATTGGCTCAAAGAGAGAAGTGGCCCATCTTGTTATGTACTATCATTGCCTAAACACAGAATCTACGTTCAATAAGCACAATGTTGTGCTTAGAAGAAAAAAAACAGGCTTGTATTTAAAAGCGATTTTGCCCGAGCTGTAAACTTTTTAAAAATCTGTACAAACCATCGACTGGGATTTTTTATTAATATTTATCAAGGAATTTATTAGAAAACAGTTAACAGGAGTTTGAAAAAAATTTCACTTGTTAAGAGAAATTGATACAAGACAATGTGCCAAAAAATGGAGAGTCTGTGTTCGATAGTTAAGAAGATATTTGACAATAAGTTGCGTGATGCATTTTTGACCGCATTATAAGTGATCATGTGCTCATGTAAAGAGACTGTCAGGCGAGAGGGAGGCGCCGAAACCTGCCACCTGCCCCCACTGCCTTGTGAGTTAGTCCTTTTGGACAAAGGCTAGCGGAGTAAACGGTACAAAAATCCAGCAGAAGGCAAGGGGAAACCACTGCTGTATTCTTTCCCTAGAACATTATGGATCATAAATCACTTCAATAAATACAGATAAAGACGTAAAGGGGAGTTCTGAAAGAACTGCCTCGTCCGGTAGGGTCAGTCATGCACAGCAGGTGACACCAGATGGTCATCAAGTAGGGTCAGTCATGCACAGCAGGTGACACCAGATCGTCATCAAGTAGGGTCAGTCATGCACAGCAGGGGACACCAGATCGTCATCAAGTAGGGTCAGTCATGCACAGCAGGGGACACCAGATCGTCATCAAGTAGGGTCAGTCATGCACAGCAGGTGACACCAGATCGTCATCAAGTAGGGTCAGTCATGCACAGCAGGTGACACCAGATCGTCATCAAGTAGGGTCAGTCATGCACAGCAGGGGACACCAGATCGTCATCAAGTAGGGTCAGTCATGCACAGCAGGGGACACCAAATCGTCATCAAGTAGGGTCAGTCATGCACAGCAGGTGACCCCAGATCGTCATCAAGTAGGGTCAGTCATGCACAGCAGGTGACCCCAGATCGTCATCAAGTAGGGTCAGTCATGCACAGCAAGGGACACCAGATCGTCATCAAGATACTGCTCACAAAAGGAAAAATCAAACAAGAAGCATAGCAACCTGGAATGTGAGAACATTTCTAGAGAAAGGAAAACTGGACAACATCAAGAAAGAAATGAAGAGAATGAATGCTAACATCATGGGTGTATGTGAAGTACGATGGACAGGAGCTGGCAGAATATTGTCCGACAGATATAACATCATTTACTCAGGAGGCGACAAACATGAAAGAGGAGTAGCGGTCATCATGGACATGCCAACATCGAAGACACTTAAGGGGTACCTGACTATATCAGACAGAGTTATGCCTGTGAGACTAAAAGGATCACCATTCGATACAACCATCATCCAAGCGTATGCGCCAACCCCAGAAAGCACAGAAGAAGAAATAAAGAAGTTTTATGATGAAATAAACCAAGCAAAGACACATTGTAAATCACAAGATATTGTCATAGTCATGGGAGATTTTAATGCAAAAGTGGGAGCAACAAGACATGAAGACATAGTGGGTCCATATGGACTGGGAAACAGAAATGAAAGAGGAGAAAAACTGATATCATGGGCCATCCTGAATGACATGATTATTGGAAACACTTGGTTATGAACAACCACCAAGAAGATTATGGACCTGGAGGAGTCCTGGAGACAGCGCTCGCAACCAGATCGACTATATTATGATCAAGAAAAGATACAAAAACGGGATGCTAAATGTCAAAACGCGGCCAGGTGCAAATTGTTACAGTGACCATGTACCCGTAGTGGGAAAATTTAAAATCAGATTGAAAAACCCCCCACGCATGAGCAAGAACAAGAGTATGAAACTAAACATGGCATTACTCCAGTCAAACAAAGAAATGCAAGATAGATTCAGAATAACTGTACAGAACAAATTCCTGCCCTTAGAAGAAATACAAGACATACAACAACAATTGGAGCAGCTTAAAACATCTATAAATGAGGCTGCAAAACACGTCATACCAGAAAGGACAACAAAAGCAAAGAAGAAATGGATGACTGAAGAAATTCTTCATCTTATGGAGGAACGAAGAACAAACAAAAAAAACAGTTTGGAAAAATATGTGAATCTTCATAAAGAAATCAGACACAAATGTAATTTAGCAAAAGAGACCTGGTTAAAAGAAGAATGTGAAGAAATGGAAAATCCTTCCAATGCGAACTCAAAAGATCTACACAGAAAAATTAAAGAGGTGTGCCATACAAGAGCGCGTGGATCAACAGGATGCTTCAAATCAAAGGATAGGAATATCATCATGGACAAAGACAAGATACTAGAACGTTGGACAGAATATATCGGTGACCTGTACAATGACAAAAGAGATGAACAAAGAAGAGTGGAAAATAACAACGAGGGACCACCAATCATGAAAGAAGAAGTTATCAAGGCGCTACGAAAGATGAAGAATGGGAAAGCTGCAGGACCGGACAACATTACCACAGAGATGATTAAAGCTTTAGAGGACTTTGGAATCACTACGCTGACAAAACTTCTTAACATCATATATGCCACTGGACATATTCCATCAGACTTGTCAAAATCTATTTTCATAGCTTTATCAAAGAAACCTAATGCAAACGAATGTGAAACGCATCGAACCATCAGCCTCATGAGCCACATAACAAAAATATTACTCAGAATAATTATGATGAGAATACGAAATAAAATTCTCCCAGAAATAGCCCAAGAACAATGTGGATTTATTGAAGGCAAAGGCACTGTAAATGCCAAATATGTCATCAGAACAACAATAGAACGTGCCCTAGAAGTTCAGAAAGATCTTCATTTATGTTTTATAGACTACACCAAGGCATTCGACAAAGTTAGGCACGACAAGATCATCGACATGCTGGAAGTTCTTAACATTGACGGGAAAGACTAAAGGATTATCAAAAACATGTACTGGGATCAAACTGCTGCAATGAGAATAGAAAACGACATCAGCAAATACATACAGACTAAAAGAAGAGTCAGGCAAGGATGTGTACTTTCTCCAGACTTGTTCTCCCTGTATAGTGAAAATATCATGAGACATATAGAAAAAATGCCTGGTATCTCGATAGGGGGAACAAAATATAAACAAAGATATGCAGATGCCACGTCCTAATAGCAGAAGATGAAGAACACCTGCAGAATCTATTAAATGTCATCGTACAAGGGAGTGACAACATGGGCTTAAGCCTAAACATCAAGAAAACCGAAACGATGGTGATAAGCAGAAATACTCCAATCCCAACATGCAATATCAAAATCAATTATACCACCCTCAAGCAAGTACAACATTTTAAATATTTGGGGACCATTATATCATCAGATGGTAGATGTCACACAGAAATTAAAAGCCGCATTTGCCAAGCAAAAGCAACCTTCCACAAGATGAAACAGATACTAACAAACATCAATCTGTCACTGGAAACGAGGAAAAGAGTACTGAAAAGTTACATCGAGCCAATCCTATTATACGTGTGCGAAGCATGGACAATCAATAAACAGCTGGAAAGAACAATTGTAGCGACAGAGTTGTGGTTCATAAGACGCATGCTACGTATCCCATGGACAGCTAGAAAAACAAATGAAGAAGTCCTGGTTGAAGCAAATTATAGAAAACAGCTTATCACGAATATAAGAAAACGACAGGCAAATTTCTTCGGACACACAATGCGGAAAGAAGCATTAGAGAATATTGTAACAACAGGAAAGTTTGATGGAAAGAGAGGCAGAGGCAGACAGAGGGAAAAGATACTGGACAAGATGACAACATGGCTGGGAGCAGCAAGAACAACAGACACCATTGCTGCATCGAAAAACAGATGGAAGTGGAGGTCCATGATCGCCCACGCCAGTCGGCAAGGCACCGAATGATGATGATGATGATGATGATGATGATGATGATGATGATGATGATGATGATAAGTGATCTAAATGGTGTCGATGACGACTTTAAAAAATGAAATTGCATAGAATGATGTTTTCTTCACCGGTCAGTATTCAACTATGAGACAAGCTAGTGGATGCCCTCGTGGCCAAGCGGTTAATGTGTTCGCCTCTCATCCAATGGGTGCACGTTGCGCACGTTTAAGAACCCTTAGTGGTCTAAAATTGATAAGAGTAGGCTTCGACCGCCACCCAGGCAAAATTCAAACGTTTCTAAACACTGAAAATGTTTAATGTGTACCGCACGCTCAAGTTATGACCTTTTGCAGTTGCGAGCGCCCTAAAACACGTACCAATTTTTTTAAAGACAAAATGTTCCTAACAAAGCAACAATAGAAATAATCAAGGGGATTGTTGTCACAAGACTCTCCTTTCTATAACAATCAACTATTTTCGTTGTTTGACGCCCCCAAAGACGCTATAGACCAGCGTCTGTGGTGTAGCGGTTAGGAGGTTTGCTGTTGCACGCAGGAGACCCAAGTTCGATTCCCGAGTGGCCGGCGAGAAACATTTGTGAGGCGTGCTGACAAAGTGAGTTACTTCTCAGACTTGAGCCCTATGGACATAGACACGTCAAATTTATTGTCTGAGTTGATACAATGTATTTGTATGAAATGATAAAAGAAATGTTATGCTTGAAGAAAATGGCATCCGTTAATGATCTACAACTTTGACCCCTGTGCCGATTTTTGTCCCAAATCTCCATTCGTGGACTGCGAGAAGTAACTCATTTTGTCATTTGTCAGTATTCTTCACATAGTGTATCTAGTATCTCGATCTGTCTGTTGGGATAGCACAAAAGTAAACGAACAAAAAAAATAATAAATTTTAAAAAATAAGACAGAAAACAAATGGGCCTACCTTATACATTTTTAAAGCTTGCTGGCGATATCAAGGCTTATCAAAAGCAGACGTAAATACCATTTCTGGGTACATTTTGAACAATTTTAACACCAATCAGAAATACGCATTAAATTTGCACATTTTTCTAAATGACACATGTGTTTGAAATGTTCATACAAAGGAAATATAATTTTAAAAACAAACCAACCCAAAGGACACGCGTTCTAAAGTTGCAGATGTAGTAAACAAGATTTTGGTTTAAAGTGTTGTAAATAACCAAGTTGCAGATGTAGTAAACAAGATTTTGGTTTAAAGTGTTGTAAATAACCAAGTTGCAGATGTAGTAAACAAGATTTTGGTTTAAAGTGTTGTAAATAACCAAGTTGCAGATGTAGTAAACAAGATTTTGGTTTAAAGTGTTGTAAATAACCAAGTTGCAGATGTAGTAAACAAGATTTTGGTTTAAAGTGTTGTAAATAACCAAGTTGCAGATGTAGTAAACAAGATTTTGGTTTAAAGTGTTGTAAATAACCAAGTTGCAGATGTAGTAAACAAGATTTTGGTTTAAAGTGTTGTAAATAACCAAGTTGCAGATGTAGTAAACAAGATTTTGGTTTAAAGTGTTGTAAATAACCAAGTTACAGATGTAGTAAACAAGATTTTGGTTTAAAGTGTTGTAAATAACCAAGTTGCAGATGTAGTAAACAAGATTTTGGTTTAAAGTGTTGTAAATAACCAAGTTGCGTTTCTGTTTAAAACCAAAACAGACGGTGCCGAAGGAGTAGAACGCCTGCCCCCAACGGAGGGGGGGGGGTATAAACATGTTCTTATGTACAGTAGAATTGTAAATGAGCTGATTTTTCAATGTCTTGCTAATACTGTGCAGAAACAACAAAGGGGGAACTGCTGCCTTTTCTTTGATCATCCTTACTATAGTAATTTATTTCCCTCTACTTCTTTTTTATGTTTGTCTCTCTCTCTTGTGAACTGCTATTTCCGTGGTGCCTTGATAGTCGAAGCAGACTTTGTGCTGTTGAGGCTAGAGAGGTGAGCAGAGTAAGTCTGATTTCCCGTTTGGGATTTTCTGTTGACATCCACCCTTGGCGCTCATATGACCTTATGAAGTTGCGAGCGCCGTAAAACCTTACTAGTACTAAAACAAGACAGAACGGCTAGAAAAAGTGCCTTCACGGAGTCCCCTACCGGAGTCAGTGGTGTAGCGGTTAGGAGCTTTGCTGTTGCTCTCAGGAGATCCAAGTTCGATTCCCGAGTGGCTGGATAGAAACATAATAAATTGTATCGAGGTCTCGGTCTGTCTGCTGGGATGTTGTAGGCCCCCTGCTGTATCTCCCAGTCCTGGCTGGCCCTGACAGGCAGGCAGGGTCGGAAGCACGCCTTCTAAATGATCTAAATTGTGTCGATTGGGTCTTAAAATTACCTACAAAAAAAATAAAAGAAAAAAATCTTAGTGTAAATACGAGTTGAACAAATGTTGAGAACCAGTTCTGTGGGACAAAAGCGAGCGCAAACGTACTCACAGATGTGAGGAGGTGAACTCTAGAGCTTGTTCACTTTCCTCGGACCGCGGATAAATCAGGGGTAAATGGTCGCTTTTAAAAGCACAAAGGCCATATGAGACCTTGGAACATCACCTGTTCCACTGTACAGCCCTAAATAACATCAGAGCTACACTTCTCCCTCAGAGACCTAACATAGACAACACACTCTATGGAACATTACAGCAACTGCAGCAAACCTGCACTTATCACTACATGGCATTGGACAGAAGGGCGAGAGCCCAGCTGTTGATGGATCGATAACAATTACAATAACAACAACAACAACAACAATTACAACAACAAAAGCACAAGGGTGCTATCCCGAAAAACTCTGTTTTGAGAAAATCGAAGGTAAAGCTTTTGCCCCTTGTTCAGTTTCTTTAAAAGACAAGGAGAGTTTTCTCTATAACCAAACAAATATACACACCAATGAAAACAAACTTCTCCTATAGGTAGGGCAACGTCCATTTTTGGTGTTGGTCTCGATTTCTGGAAACCCCCGAAATCTGTGTAAGCCCGCTTGCGACCAAATGAAATCGCTCAGTTTAATTCGTCTCAGATCTTTGCATACGCGTCTAAGAGTTGGACAAACAACGAATCTAAAAGTCAATTGATAAAGGTAACTGCAAACTAAGGTTTGGACACGTTTTCTTTAATAGTAGTCTACAGCGAGTCAAAAAACAATTAGTAGGGGATTTACAGCACACTCCTAAAACGCAAACAATTTGACATATTATTATTATTATTTTCATCAATTTGATGAAGCCCACGTGGGGCGCTCATTCTTAAAATCAATCAGGAAACGACAAATGAAGTTTTTGGGACACCTGAATAGACATAAGGGTCTTGAACATCTAGCTCTCACTGGCAAAATTGAAGGCAACCGAGGCAGGGGTAGCCCCAGAGCAACCTAGTTAGGGAATCTAAACAAATGGGTAACTGGAAATGATTAGGGAAGCGTAGCCTTTGTAAGAGCATCCGGACGAGCAAAGGAATGAATGGAGAACTATGATCGCCGATGTCTGTCGCAGATCTGGCACTGGATGAATGAATTTTCATCAACGACACACTGTTACGAAAGCCTAAGAAACACGATCCAAGAGTAAGTAAATAAGTAAGTAGGTAAGTGAATAAGTAAGTTATAGTAGTTAAATATGTAAGTAAGTACGTTTATTCAGTGTTTAAGGCCATTGGCCCACATCACATCATATAAAACACTCCACAAAGAAAAAGTATAGGTTGTGCACATAAGTATGTCTTATAATGGGTCAAACATTTCATATTTCATTAGACATAATTATGTCTTATAATGGGTCAAACATTTCATATTTCATTGGACATAATTATGTCTTATAATGGGTCAAACATTTCATATTTCATTGGACATAATTATGTCTTATAATGGGTCAAACATTTCATATTTCATTGG